TTGGTCTTTAATTCTGAGAACTATATTTAAATAAGACTTAGAAAAAGAATACAAGCACCTAGAGAAATAGTGGTGTAGAAAGGCAGCGTTCTTTCATAAGTGATGGTTGTTAAAGGCTCTGTGCACTCAGTTTGGAAGTAAATTTAAGAGCCCAGACAAGTTGTGTACTTCTTGCTGAAGGGATTACAAGGGGAGGAGAGGAAGAACCTTCATTTAAAGTTGTAGGTAAAGGTGGGCTGAAGGGGCAAGAGAGGTCTCGTCCAGCATCCTCCCGTAACGGAGGGCAGCGTGCCCACGGCACACACCGGGATCTTCCTTCGGGGGTGAGCGGCTCTCCCAGGGCTGGGCGAAGCAGCTGGCTTCCGAGAAGCTCTGACACAGAAATCGAGGCACTAATCTCTCCAGAACAGCCTCCGCACAAAGGATGCCTTGACAGGAGTCTCAGGATGTACTTTCTGAAGCACTAATAAAGGAAGCATTTCCTGCCCCGAGAGTTACAATATAAATATAATGAAGTGCAAAACCAAACACAATAAAACAAATAGATGACAAGTTCTTAAGGAAATCGCGGTAAGGATGATAATATTAGGGAAGCTTTTGAGCTCTTTGCCCTTTCTTAGATGAATCACAATCAGTTCGTTCCTCAGGAGCCGCCTGCTCAGAGAAGAGAGCTTGTATCCTGCGTTGGCAGAGGACAGGAGTTCCCCTTGCTCAGCCCCCGTCAGGATTTGGTCCCGTGCCTCCTGTTAACACAAAGGAGATGTCATCCCAACAGCATCTTAGAAGCTTTACTAGGAGAAATAACCCAAGCTTCACTGTGATACCATTTTATTTGCAGCTTCATACTCTGCTCTGGCTGTCCCGCCCCGCACAGGCGTAGGGATGCTCGTACCGCTCCCGAAAGCTGGACCTCCCGCAGCAATCCTTCGGAGGCCTGAGCGGGGTGGACGTGGGAGATTGGTTGTAATTTCCAGAAAGCGTTGGCCTGTCTGGGAAGTGGTGCGGTTTGGTTGCTAAGGCTGAGGATTGAGACCCAAAACTTTTGGCTTTTGGGGTTTAGTTGCAGTGTGGCGTTGCTCCAAGCGCTTCCACGTGCCCCTGTTCTCGCCGTGCGGTCGGAGTGCTGTAAAGCATTACTACTCGCTCGCTTTTGATTTAAGTGGGAAAGTTATTAAAATGCTCTGAAACTCTTGAATGGCAATGGATAGGTAAGTGTAAGGTTTGATTTATTTGATGGGATTTTGTACAGAAATAGTCCTCTAATGTTGCACATCCTCTGGGTCAGCAGTGCTGGTGTCTTGGGAGGATGGTGGGAATCTAATTATTTCATCTGTCCAAAATAGCAACTTTTAAGAGGTGAGGAAATGACTGCACCAAAACTATTGTATGCCATCTGCCTGCTAAAATACTTATAGAAGACATGTTTCCTGGCATATAGCTTCCTAGCCATATGTCTATTGCATCATTCACAATTAAATTAAATCACCCTTAAATAGTTGGACAAATTCCCAGTCTATGTGAACAAGCCTTCATCACCGTGCAGTTTGAAATTTGGACACTTGATCCTGTAAATGTTTAGTTGAAATTGGCTCAGCTGTTGTTAACCTTATACAGCTGATACAGACTGCTTTGAGATAACGCAAGTTTCTTATTTTGGTCTTTAGATTTTTAACTACAAAAACTTGTTGGGGATCTGAAAGGAGGAAATAATTCTACAGTATTCTTTTGTAATGTGCTCAAGTCACTTTAAACAGAGGTTTAAATGGAGAGTCTTATCAATGAGAAAAGGTGTTATCTTCCACTCCTTGAATAAACAGATCGAAGTAACTGAAGAGCCTGGTTATAGCTGGGTATTCCGAATATTTGGAATATGCTTGGAGGTGTGTACACACATACACACACACACATATCCCCCCACCAACCGAAAATCTTGCCCACTTCACAGCATCTCAGAAACACGATTGCAAACAGACATCAGACAACAAAGCCCGACCTGCTCCTGCTTAGGCTGGGTCAGCCGTGTTTAAGCCCCGTGGCTGGCGGTGCTGGAGGCAGGGTCCCACTGCCACCCCCCCACGCATCCCCCACGGGGAGCACGGCGATGCCTGCGTGGGGGGGACGGTTGAGGGTCAAAAAACGAAGGCGTTGGATGGGTAGACGCATCTCTAGGTCTCTCTTCTAAAATCTGCTGAAGACAGTGCTGTCAATTGAAGAATAATCTTAATAAGTAACTGATTTGGGGTTTTTTTTGATTCTTCATTTGAGGATATGTTAGACTTACCTGTTGTGCCATGCTTAGCTGAATCACTCTCCTAAAATGAGTTCTAAGGCATGGCCTGACATGCTCAGATAGTGCACACAGCGGGCGTAAGTATTAATGAAACCCTACATCTTTCGCGCAGGGAATGTCATTTAAACGCAGCCCGACTTCCACTGGAAACCAAACCCGTGAGCTTCCCATGCTCAGTGTCTGACAGCCCTGGTCATCCTCTATTTTTAGTCCAGCTCTCTATTTTTAGTCTGTTTTTGAAAGGTGAAACAAAACCGGCAGCCAAACCCGGATGATGCTGTTGGTTTCTTTCATTCAGAAGCCCGGAGCAGCGCTGGAGGAGAATGGCAGGAAACCCGGCAGGGCGGAGGGGCGAGCAGCCCCCCGGGCGGGCAGGAGGGGCTGGGGGCATGGCCAGCCGCCGGCGGGGACCCTCCACGGGGCTACACCAGCTCACGGCCCAGAGCTCCCCTGCAACTCCCGTGCAAACAAGGAGCTCAGCACGTGCCGGTTTGTTTCATTCTTTTCCTACAGTTCACTTATTTTTAGTACCGAAATAAAATTTGTAAGCATTTCTGAGATTTTTGCCTTCACTGTACAGGAGTGGTCCCAAGCCCTGTCCTGCCAGAGGTAGCTCGGCAGCTTTTCTTGATGCTTTTCCATGTAATGGGATGTTGGTCCTCACCAGATGGTCTTCTGTCTTCCTAGTGGCTGATACTTTGAAATTTCAACTTATTTTTAGTTGTGTTATTCAACCCAAATTCTCACTTTAGTAGGGAAAAAAAAAATCTGTTATTTAAATAGGACCTTTGCCTCATTCTGCTTTTCTCATTTAAACTTTTGAATATATTTTGTAAACTGATTTGCATGCAAATCTGTTTTACGTACTGAGTCATGCGTTTCCCAATGTGTGTGTGTGCTTGAGAGAGGAAAAAAAAGAAAATGCTTGCCGGGAGCTGTTGGAGACAGCTGGGCTGTGACCCCACTCAGGTTTTATACCGTGTTGTAGACCATATTTACCAGGATTTTGTGGTCTTTAATAGAGCTGTATAGCTCTGTCATTCAGTAACAGATTACTGAAGATAACAGAAATCTTTATATAGATGTTGGAGCACATTTCTTAGCTACAGATGTTTCCTTCCAAGAGACATTTTCCTGTCACAGAACCACAGAACGGTTTGAGTTGGAAGGGACCTCTAAACATCATCTCATCCAACCCCTGTGCTACCCTAAAAACAAAAGCTACTGGAATTTTGTCATATGACTAAATGTGTATACTGGAAATGCTGTTTGGGGATTTCTTTGTGCATAATACTACCCTATCTTTTCTTCTGTCTTCTAATCCTTTTCTGGCTGCAGCCATATGACTGTAGGAGTGTAATGGGGGCATCCACAAAAAGATAATACAGTGAGCAAGTACTTCATTGCCTTTCCTTCCATTGCTATTTTCCTGGCCACCTCATTTTTGATTTCTGGCTAGCAACAACTCTTTTAGTGACCGCATCATTTAGCTGTAAAAGAAAAGAAAGAATTCAGACTTAACTAGAGTTTTTTTTCCCAAGTGATTTTTTTTTTATCCCCACAGGCCAAAATTATTATTGAGACATTTCTGTTGTCGTTGGTGTCCCCAGGCATAAAAATCAAGTAATGGAAACACCAAATGAAAAATTTAAAAAACCTCCGGTTTCTTTAAGGCCACGTTAGGATGCATTGACTCAGCCCGGTTCGCTGCCTGCTGCAGAGCATCCCTCGTCCCGCCGGTTCCAGGGCTGGTCCCACGCGTGCCTGCGGTGCCGCCGCTGGAGACGCAGAGAGCCGGGGCCAACCGTTTCCACCTGGTGAAGTTCAGCCTGGTAATAACCCCAAAGTCAGTGTTCCTATACTGTTTTTAATGTTTCTATAAAGCGTTATTAATGGAAATGAGCTCCAGGAAGTTATTTATTAGTCTTGAGTCCCTCTTCTGCTCCAAGTTTTATGCCGAAGCTTTTGCCTGTGGGGTTTTTCTCTCCCCCAGAGCTTCTCTAAACCATTTCATTTGTGCTCTCTGTTTGACCGAAGTCAATTTAGTGAAGCTAATGGAGTTACATTTCTTCAGGTCAGTGATGATTTTGCATCCTTGAGTTCCTTTGCTCAATTTGCTGAGAAAATTTCTGATTCTGAAGTCAGTTTTCAGAGTTCCCCCCTCTCCACAGCCCTGGGACCGTGCATGGGGCTCCCCGGCGGTGGCTGGCCCTGGGGTTTCTCCACTTCTCAGCTCTCATCAGATTGTGTTTACTTTGCTTTGAGGGAAGTTGAGCAGCAGGCTCCACTGTAATCCTTCCTTCCAGCTGGAGCCCGTTGCATCCCTGCCTTCACTGTAACGAGAAAGCAAGCAGCTCTCAGGAAAGAGTTAAGCCCAGCGAGGCTTTGGGATCCTTTGCTGGGGAGAGGGTTGCTCTTTTGTTTGTTTTGAAGTGCTGGCAGGAAAGTGGGGAGGAGAAAATTACCTAAGTGATAGTGAGGTTGCCATGAACTGTATAAAACTGTGAAATCAAATCGGAGAAACTCCACCTCGCAGCCTTGAACCATAAGCACAGCCCCTGAAGAGAAACCCACCCCACAACCGAGTGATCTCAAAGGCTTGAACTAAAACCAAGCTACATGAGCTCAGAGCTGCTGCAGGACTGAAAACCCAAGAGCTGTCACAGCCAGATCCAGTTTTAGCGGGAGCTGCGCGCAGGAATTTCTGTTCTTGGGAAGTTTGAAAATGATGAAGTGGCGGCAGCTGTTCTGGATTGCGTTCTGCGCCGTGGAGTTGTGTGGTGAGTCCTGACTGCAGAAAATACCTGGGTTAAAGCCCTGGGCAATAGAGCAGGGGGAGACTAGTGCATGGGGCAACTTCTTCATAACTTCTGAAACAGCAGCTTGGGGGGATGCATTTTAATGCGTGTTTAGTGGAGACTGCAATTTCACATAAGGAGAACTGCGGTGACGTTTTACAGAACAGCGCGGCATCAGGCATCCTGGCCAACACATGCACAGCGGTGTAACGCAAACAGAAAACGCTGCTGGTTTGAAAGGAGAGGCATCGGGACATGAGAGCTCCCTGTAACATCACTGATAACACAAGGGGATGCAAACGCAGCAGGCGAAGCTGCAGAGTGCAGCCACAGTTCAAGTCGGTTCTCGGTCTGCATTGGTGTAAATTAGCCTTGCTTTTGTTTTGTGGCAGGAACTAAACATTTTCTGAAAATCAAATAAATCTCCATAAATATTAAAATCTCCTATTCCAGCTCTTCAAATATTCATCATATGAAAGAGTGAATAATAATACAGAGATTTTCTCCAGGTAGTACTTTTTAGAGGGTTATATTTTAGGGAAATAGTATAATTTTTTTCCCAAACCTAACAACCATGAAGTAACAAAAAGAGACCAACAAAAGTGAAGCAGCACTCTGTGTGCTGCATAGTGTGCTGGGACAGGAGCCAGGAACCTGCGGTTGTCTCCTCAAATGTAATTTTTCCTTATTCACCCAAATGTGAGCAACTAGAGCTATTGAAAGAATTTGCTGTAGTTTGTTCTTCTTGTTTCATGGTGCTCCTTTCATGTTCCCTTTGCTGCCAAGGTATCTTGCTCACCCAAGCTGTTGTGCCTGACCCTCCAGTCTATGTTCATTTTACAAGAAAGTAAAAAAAAACAATTTTATTTGAGAGAAATAAAATTCAGGACTGTCTGCTTGGACTGAAGTGAGCAGCAAGCGAGGGTGTAAGACAAAAATGTTTACTCGAAATGCAAAACCTGCATTCCTCGTAGCACAAAGCAAAAGGGATGCAAAAGTGATTAAAAGCTTTGCCTTTGTAAAGACAAAGCTACCGGGCAACAGGGGGTTTGATGCTGCAAAACGTGATTCCTTTTGCTGGCACAGCCCATGCTCCACATTTCTGCAGGATCCTACAGCACTTTGTTAGCCCTTGCTGGAAAGCAGAGGAGGGTTATTTCTGTTCAGTGTAGCTGCTGCGCAGAGCAGAGCACAACCGGAGAGCTCAGCCGTGGGGCTCTGCACGCTCTTCACCGCTTTGGGGAGTCCGAGGGAAGGAAGCCAAGGTTGCAGCTGTGCAGCTCCCGAGGGAAATCCCAGGTCTGGGGCTTTGTGCTCAGGTTGGCTCCTGGCAGGGTGGGACGGCTGCCCGCCACCTGCCCCCCAGGACACCCTCAGCGAAAGCCACGTGTTTTACAGGGGAAAAAAAACCAAACCACGCCATGCTGGGCCAGGTGCAGGTCTGCTACAGGTGCCCCGTGTGGATGCGGTGAGGGGAGGATGGAGGCCGGGTACCGAGTCTGACGGCAGCCTGACTCCAGAGCAAGGAGCAGGCTCGTCCAGCTCGCGGGGAGCGAATCGCGTATGAAATGCTGGGTTCTGGGCTTTCCCTCATCCTTCGGGGAACTGCTGAGTTGCAATGAGCGTGGGAGAGGTTTATGCCCGTCTGCAGAGCGGGCTGATGGTCCGGGGCTGCGACACGATTCTGTGAGTGGTTCATGGTGGCAAAATTGGGTATTGATAACCCACGTGGAGAGCTGCCCTGTGCTTGTCTCAGCAAGTACGTGGAAAAGAGAGCATCTATTCTATTTGTACTTAACCCAAACCCTTTCTTTTTTTTTTATCTTTTATCGTTCTTTTTTATCTCTTTTTTGCTCATCTCTGCCAAACTCAATTTTTTTTAAAAAAATCTCCTTTCTTGTCATTTTAAAGCATTCTTTCTTTCCTTTACTCCTTTTGCAAGACCTAGACAGTTCTAAAAATCAGGGAAGGCAAAAGGAGCTTTAAAACTCACAGCCGCTTGAGTTTAACGTTCTTTAGAGGGCCGCACATCCTAGCTGCTCAAGCCAGGAGCAATCGCGGTCCCGGGAAGGGGCTGGGCTCCCAAGCAGCACCCAGCTGCCGGAGGGGCCCCAAGCCCAAGGAAGCCCTTGGGCAGCAGCTGGGGTTCGGCTCGGGGGGCTCCCCGCAGCCCCGTGCGCCCTGCGTGACTGCGGCCCCACACCCATATCCTGTGCGGGAGAAGGAAAAGGGGGAGGGAAGGGATTTTTATCAGATATTTCCAGAGGGAAGAGGGCTCCACCCGCTTGAATTCCTGCCACATGGCTGAGAGCAGTAAGGCTGGAAAGGCGTGAGTAATTCGGGCTGGAGTCCTCGGAGGAGCTGGGCTGGCGGCAGCTTCGGAGCTCCGTGTCCAGCGATTCCTCACCCTCCTCTTCCGCAGGCGCTGGTACCAGCCGTGCCGCGGTGCCGGCTCACCTGCAGTGCTTTGCCGTAGCTCAGCCGCAGCCCTTGCAGGTTCTAGAGCATCAGCCGAGCTTGGAAAAAGACTTTGTTAAACACACGAGAGTTTGAGAAACTATCCTGGCACAGAGTTTCTGTGTCAGAGCACTGAATTAGGCGCCCAGTTAGCAAAAGGTTTAGCAAAAGGTTTACCGAGAGATTGGTGCGGCAGCATAGGCGCAGCAGTTGCTGCCTGGGAATGCCCTGCGGGTTCCACCTTCCACCTCGCAGGGATGGACGTGCAGGGGAGAAACCCCCGGGTTTAATTTGCTGCGGGTGCAGAGTGGGGCACACGTTACGGAAACGTTTTTCCTCTTTCCTGAGCCTTTGCCACTGCGGAGTTCTGCCTCCTGTGGCCCTGGTTTAGTGCTCAGGGACGGGTGCTGGACCACGCAACTACTTTAACATTTCTATTGTTGCTTTTTTGTATTGGATTTGAGCTGAGATACTTCCTAAGCCCCATTATGAGAATTTTAAACTCTTTAAAAATTGGAAGCATTTGCTTTTTAAAAGCCAGATAGGTAAATACAACAGGCACTGTGAAGTACATTTTTCTTTCACATATCTGCACGCTTTTGCTCCTGCATGTGCTAGCACTACCAGGTGAAGATTGCTCCGAGGTTAATAAATGGCTTGGCTTGAACTCTCAAACCGTTAATACTAACAAATTGACAAAGTCTAGCAAAGCTAGTAAAAAATGTATGGTGCAATAAATGACCCAGTTTACCTGAGCACCATGTGGATTATCCAGCCCACATCTGGATCATTATTTATCTCATGAGTCCTAAGGTTTCAAAAACAACTCAGCCACGTTTTCTATAAAAGTGCCTGCATATGCTACAATAAAGGGAAGGAAAATAAATACTGTGTGACAGGTCTCCTCACAAATTACACCGAGCAATAATCCAGGCTTCAATTTATGATATTCAGTGGTGAAAAGACTTTGATTAGAAATACCTCTGGTGCTTTACAAACATCTGGAATAGTTCAAAGTTGCTTGGGTGGCTGTGGCACTTGGGGAGGTCAAGTCCAGGCGCTACATTGTTCTAGTGATGTAAAGTTTCCTGCTAATGTCCATGCAAACATAAAGCTGCATGCTAAGCGAGGATTTAACTTTGTGCTACTCATTATTCTGGGCATGCAGTCATGCCTCCTGCTTTTGATTTGTTAAAATTCATCAGAAAAACTTGGTGATTTAGCCAGTTGGAACTGAATTGTCTTGGAGAGAAGAAACTTCTCCCTTCAATAAAAGCTGTGCCAGAACCTAAATCCCAGCTCCAGACACCTGCGCCGAGCCCTCGGCAGGGCCCACGCCTCCCCCGTCCTCCTGCACCCAGAGCAGCTGCAGCCTGGCCGGGGTGGGATGGAGCAGGATGGGATGGGATGGGGCGGGATAGGACAGGATGGAACAGGATGGAACAGGATGGGATGGAGTGGGGTGGGATGGGATGCACCAGCCTGGGCGGCTGTGCAGGGTCGGTTTGGGGTACGGTCCCCCCTCTGCACCCCCCCGGTACAACCACCCACCGGCTGCAGCCACCGCCAAGCAGCTCTGCCTGCTCCCACCCATTGCCAAAGTAAAGTTCAGTGATCTTGGTCTTTGCTTTTCATAAACAGTCCAGGTTCTCTGGACCTGATTCAGCAAAGTACTGACATCCCAACGTAGAGAACTCCCCGCCAGGACAAGACCGAGGTGCGCGGTGGTGCAGCGCACAGTACAGAAACGTCTGTTCAACTGTCATCTGCTGCTGCCCTGACGCCGGCACCAGGCGGCTGATCAGGACCTGTCAGTGCTGCTCCATCTCGCAGGGGTGCTTGGAAGGGTGAAGTAACTTTTCTTGGAGGTCAGGCTCCCCTGGGCAGAAATACAAATGAAACAACGTATTTTGTATGATTTTTCTCTTTAGTGTCTGGATAAGAATCTTAAACAGCAACAGCCCTGGAGTAGAGACTGAAGCTCTCTGTTAAAAGTGGAAATAGATCTTAAGAATAGAAAAGGTTAAGAAATGGGAAGAAATGCATTCTCACTGACTCATATAGTTCATTTCAGAAGGAAAAGCTGGAAGTGTCATCTCTGTAACATACCAGGAAGCAATATATAAACTTTAAGTTAGAGCAGCAAACCGATCCCCAAACATTCAGTTTTACCTCCAAAGTTGTTTTTGCTCATGAGTCAGAGCTGATCCCAAGCCAAAGGGAATGTTTCTATTTACTTTGAGATTGTGCCTGCAACTGCAAAGCCAACTTATTTTTCCTGAGGCGCACAAGTGATCTCTTCCAAGGCCTGAGTCTTTCCTCCAAGGATTATAAACCCAAACTACTATGAAATCCAGCTTTGTGCAGAGCTTTGCGCATCCCTCGGTAAGCCCGAGGATCAGGCAGGATGAGGGCAGAAACGAGCCTGTCCTCCTCCAGTGCTGCCCCAGGACCCCCAAAGCTTCCGCGAGGGCTGCACCCAAGTCTGGTACTCGCCCAGCCGAAATGTTTAGTCTCTGAGCTTCTCCCATCCGAGCCCCAAGGCAACCTGCCGTTTTGGGGCAAGAAGAAAGTGAATTTGTAAAAGCAGCTACCCCTGTCCTGCCCTGCCCTGTCCACAGGGACCCTGGGTGGCAGGCAGGGGCTTGGGGCTGGGATGGGCCCCTAACACCTTCCTCTGCCCCCAGGCAACGCTTCTGGGAACCCAACAGAGAGCCCCACACCGACAGTCACGGCCACGGAACCGAAAGGCATCAGCAGCACAGCAGCCACCGGAGCCACCGGAGCCACCGGAGCCCTCAGCAGTGCCGAGCTGACGCCAGAGACGTCTGGTAATCGCTCCCCCCGTGATTCCTGACAGCATTTGCGTTAACAATCAGATCTATTAAGTGCACAGGCCTGCCCTAAGAAACCACACACTTGGTGCATGGGTTGTGCTCCCAAAAAATAACCTGATAGTATGGTCAAAAACTTTAACCCTGCCCAAAAAAAATCCCACCTGGGGCAACCTAACACTGCTGTCTTCAGGACGAGCGACTTAGACCCATCCTTTTCAAAAGAGCCAAGAGATGATGGGACACAATGCTCATTAATCTTTTATCTCAACATACCTATTCTTTGCTCCGCAAATGGCATCTGTAAGAGGTCTGCCAGCCTTTCCGACAAGAGGCCAAGGCTCTGAAGGGCTTTGAAACCGGGACCCTTGCACAGATGTACGGTGCCTTTCTCGTGCAGTTTGAAATCCGTACATCTTTTTGAAAACTCTGGGTCAAGGTGGAGACGAGGGCGATGCAGGGGAGGTCAGGCAATGACATCCTTGCTGTGGTGCAGCATATGCCCAGGAAATTAGCCCATTGTAAACAGATTATGAAGCGCATGTAACAATTAGGTAACTGAAGCAAGTCTAATGTGCGTTTCTTATACAGCCAATAACACGTTCTGGTATTGCTGGCTATGACAAATCAATATTGTACTTCAGTCACCACAATGCCACGCATTGATTTTAGAGGACTTAAGCTTTCTCGTGTATCCTTTTCATTACATTTCTTCAAAACTGAAGCTACAACCGGGTCCCTGGTAACCAACCCCCCCTCCCCGGGGCTCAGCAGCGAGCCGACGAGCCCGCAACCCAGCCGAGACCCCACGCAGACACTGGGCACCCCCTCGGACCCAGCCCACATGACCCAAGGGGTCCCCACAACCGAGAGCCCAGAGACACAACGCAGCATGACAGCAGAAACTCTGGGGTCCACGCTGGATCTGGCGACTTCTGCCACCTCGGGGCATCCTCCTGTCTCAACTGCCACCACCCCACTGCCCACGGTCAGGGACAGCCCAAAGGTGAGGACACGGCTGGGCGATGCGGGCTGTGGGACCACGAGGAGGCTGGACTTGTCTCACAACCCCCCGGCAGTTCATTGATACCATCACTGTGGTTTTTCCCTTCCAGGCCATCACATGCCACAATGTCAAAGAAGTGAGTGACACTGGAGCCATCTGCTTGCAGCTCAATGCGTCCAACACTTGCGTGAGTTGCAGCCCTGGGTGGCCATGCGTTTCCGAGGGGCAGGGGACATGCAGGAGGAGGGGGCTGCAAGCCAACAGCCGAGGGCAGGGTCCTACAGTGCTCTCAGGCTTGTAGCGATGGGGTCACCCACCATACCTGGGGGGTCAGTTTGGGGTGGGGAGCTCACATCGTTATGCCTAGGGCAGAGCATCTGAGCTGTGCCCAACTGAGGGAGGTGGGGATGATCACAGCAGTCCCAGGAGGATCCCAAAGGGATGATCACAGCAGTCCCAGGGGAAATGCCACCTCCTGGTTGCATAAAAATCTCCTTTTCATGATTAATCTCTGGGGTCAGTTTACCTTCTAAAGCATCTCCCACCATGTTTAACAGGAAATTGCCTTTGTTCTTCTTCTTCCTCTTCCCTGTTGGGAATGCAAGCGCCTTTTTTTGTCTTGCCAACTGCCCTAGGAAAGAAATCAGGGCATCTGAAGGAGCACGGGTGGCCGATCAGTGTCCCCATCTGCACCCGCTCCGAAGGGAATCCCAGGCTCTCTGTAACTGCCCTTGGCCTTGTGAGCCAAAACTGAAGCATTTACAAAAGCAGAAGAGGGTCTGGCTGAGACACTATTGTGGGTGGGAGGGAAGAAACCTTCCACGCTGGCGGTACAGCCTGCAACAGAGGGCAGATGGTGCTGGATGTTGTGGGACAGCAGACTCGGCAATGCCCTGGGTATAAAAATGACAGTGATTAATTTTACTTCTGCTGGTCAGCTGTACTGCCGCCACTTGGGATGGGTGAATTCTCACTTGGCTTTGCTCTGCAAATTGGCGATTAAATGGCATTTAGACTTGCTCCTGTTGACAGGGACTGCACTTTAGCGAGAATTCACGTGGCAGCTCCTGCGGGAGGGAGTGGGTGACTCTGCCCGCCGATCCCACCTGGTGGGGAGCAGCACCGCCGGGGCACCGGGCCGACAGACATCATGGATGCATTACACACCTGCACGTACCTAAATGGCTGCATACATAACATACAGAATATCCTATAGAGCCGTATCTGATTGCACATACTCTTAACCCTCCCTCCCTGCGAAGCGAGTCAAACTGCTGCACTTCCAGCCGGGTTTTTCTGGGAGCTCTCCCCCCACAGCAGACCTCTCCCATGCCTCCACCTCAACAGTCTTCGAGTGGGAAAAACCAGCTCAGGCTCAGCAGCTGGTGGACCTGGGAACGAGATAAGAGCATCTGCAAGGAGAGGAGATAGGAGGGACCGTGCCGTGTCTCGCTTTCCTGCCGGCCTTTCCCAAAGCAAATGAGCAATAAGCTGGCACCCAGCGCTGCTAATTGCAAAGGGAAATTCTGACACTCCGATGAGTTCTTTCCACAGCAGAGAAAGGAAAATACACACTTGGGTCTCTTGTTCCATCTTGGCCTTTCTCACCCCAAGCCAAGCTCTATAGAAACAGCTGAAAATGATTTGTTTGTTATTCTCCCATGGATAAGTTTCTGCATTTTTGTATGCTAAGAGGATGTGGCGATCCGAGCACAACACTGAGGCAACTCCAAGGCACAGAGAGGAAAGCAGTGAGCTGCCTGGCTCCGCACAACGTGCAAGACAAGAGGGTTTGCTCCTCTGTCGCAGCCCCACGTTGGTGGGTCCCTCCCGGGGAGCGAGGGGGGGCAGGGGCAGGATGGGGGATTCAGCTGGAGCCGGGCTCTGTCCCGAAGCCGTGGGCACGGCCACAGCTCGGATGATGTCCCCAGCTGGGAGGATGTTAGGGAAGCTGATAACGTCTTTTAGCAACTGTGGGCTCTGTCTCCAAGCCTGACTGTGGCTGAAAATAGACCCGAGGAGAAAGCCTATCCTGTCTGATACAGAGACTGGCCCACAGAAGGGAAAGGCTGCAGCACCTCACTCCTCTTCCTCTTCCACCCAAGAGTCGATTCAACTCTAAAATGTGAGAAATTTGTATTTTTTTACGTAGCCTTTGATCAGCAACCTAGCAAAAACATTGAAGACATTTCCTAAACAGGAAGGCTCAATGCTTCTTTGTTATTTCCCTCCTTTCCCAGCCCCTGCCTGGGACTGTGAAACAATAGGGCTCTTCAGGCGGCTGTGTCACTCCAAATATTGGAGACGCTTGCCATGCAATTCTGATCCTAAATTTAGCTTTGCTTAAATGCCATTTGCAAGAGTTGCTAATAATATCTTCATTTGATTTATTCTCATTAAGCTAAGAAACAAGAAATAAGCGTCTCCATTTTCCGAGTGTTGGTATTGGGGCTCAGAGCAGTGGTGCAGGGGGAGGGGAAGGTCTGACCCCCAGCCCAGCGCTGTTCGTCACTGCTCGTCGCTTCTGCTCGGCTAAGCCACCAAAACACAAAGGGCGAACGCACAACACTACCAGTAGTATCATCAGCATAGCTGAGATGGAGAATTAGTCGGTTTTGTTGGTTCAATGGCTGGTTTTTTGAAAATCTTGCAGAAACATTTTCTAGAGATGAAGGGATCCGACCTATGGAGTGCAATATGTGAAGAAAGAGCCGACCGCGTTCCCTCCCCTTGCCAGATTAAACTCGCTAAATCTGAGGTGGACCGTGAATGTATGCTCCTCATCCTCGTCGGCGAGAAAGGTCAGTTGAGCTAATTCCTTTGGCTGTCATTGATACCGCTGGACAATGACCTGGATGTGGGTGATGGGAGGGGGGACTGTTTGCGGGGAGAGGCTGTGGGACACAAATCCTCGGTTACAGCCTGGGAGGAGACTTCTCTTTGCAACTGCTGCTCTTTCTTCTGGCGTCTTGCTAGATCCACAGAGCCATGGCATCGCCTCCAGAGCAGTGAAGGGGCTCACGGCTCCGTCAGCAATGGCCAGGCTCTTCGACGCTGACATTAGCTGCAGCGTGACCCTCTCTGTAATGTGCCTCTCCTGTTTTAAACCTTACAGATCCTGCTACAGATATGCTCCAGGAGCCTCAATGGCAAAAGGTAAATTCCTTAAGCAAATTCTGCTGGAAGAAATGGGTGGCCCGAGTGGCTGGAGAAATGAGATTTTTTAGATGGTCAGTTGAGGCTGGGGTGGATGGCTGAGACCTGGACCTGCCTCCATCTCGGAGGTGCTTGTTGAGCGTTGGCACGTGAGACGTTTGGAGCCAACCGCCGGGCACGCAGCGAGGCAGCAGTGTACCGCAAGAGAACTAATACAACCACTGAAGGCAGAAATGCTTGAAATAGTTCCTGTAAAATTCTGCAGTATTTTCTTAAAAAAGGCTGAGATCCCAACAATAACTCTGAGGATGCAGTTGGCACTCTGCTTCTTCAAAGTACCACACTGACGTTAATTAATTCCTTCTCTCAACGCTGCGGTGAGGCTGCCATCGGCTCGCAGAGCTGAGCTCCGGGTGCCGGTGGAGATGGCAGCCCACAGAGCTGCGACAGCAACGCACAGAGATGGTGCTGCCGTGCAGATGTATGCTCTAAATCTGAAGGTCTGAGCACTCTGGTCCAAGGGAGAAAATTTCCCTGTGCCACAGAAGATGCTAGGATGGAAATGAGACCATGAGGATGTGAGATCTCACAGGGCAAGTGCACAGCTCAGGAGCTTGGGTAGCAAAGCCCGGCTTTGTTTATGTGGAGTTTAACAAGGAGGAGAAGAGCAGCGTTGTTTTAAGCCTGGTGCCTGTTCAGCAGATGCACGTTTCCTCTTTGTCAGACTCCCATCTCTCTTTGGTGTTTTTTCCAGCTTGGAATAAAATCCCTTAAACGGGCAAGCGTGAGGAACCACCAGGACTTTTCTCAGAAGACCCTGATCGCCTTGGTCACCTCTGGGCTCCTGCTGGCGTTCCTGGGCTTGGCTGGATATTTCCTGATGAAGCGGCGGAGCTGGAGCCCCGCGGGAGAGAGGCTGGTTAGTGCTTACAGATGGCAGAGCAGCAGGTAGAGAGGGACCCGAGGGGAGAGGAGGGGGCTGCTCCGCACCCTGCGGCTCAGGACCCTCAGCCCGACTGTGTGTCCCCAGGCCGACGGGACGGCTCCGCTGGCACACGGGGTGCTGAGACCCGAGGCTGGGTCAGCCTGGGCAAGAGGGAGGCCAGACTGTACAGGGTGAAGGGAAACCTCTCTTGCCTTCTGAAAGTAACTCTTAGCTGATTGCTCCTGTGGGAAAACCGCCCCTTTCTCGCTCGTACTTCTAGGTCTAACACTTATTTTTGCTCAGCAGTAAGAACTCATCCAGCAAGACCCCTCCAGAGACACCGAAACCTTATGAATTTGTCATTAAAAGTGACACACTTTAACTTTCCATTCGCTGCATTTGAGTTATACATCTGTCCTGTACTGATGCTGTAATAAAGGCTATTTCTCCCCTCACTTAAGAAGCGATGGTAATAAAATCTATCAAGAAAGAAAGAGAAAGAAATTTCCTATTTCCATTCTCCCCTTTCCAGGCAGGCTGACTGCTGAGGACTTTCGGGGACGTGAGCCCTCTGTAAAGTGAGGATGGGCCATGCTTTTCCCCCATCGATGCTTGTGGGCACGTGAACAGTTGTGTCCTGGGAAGCCATCAGGTTATTTCATCGCCAGAAAGGATGCTCTCAAAACATGCAGATGGGAAGTCAAGGGCGTGCATCAGAGGCAGGGACATCGCAGCTTGGGCTCTCGAGCTCTCCACCTCCGAGTACCGTCTCCTGGATGCTGGCAGCAAGTGAAAGGCCATGTAAATGCGTGGCTGGGAGCTGCCCATGTCGACGCAGGGCAGTGTCAGTGCAGTTTCTCGGTGAGACGTGTCCAGCACACCCATCTCACTGCCACGGACAAGGGTGTCACCAAAGGGGCCGAGCGAAACGCCGGGGCGGGCGGGAAGATGGGCAGCCTGCCGTGCGCGCTGGATGCCGCTGAGCAAACGCGGAGCAGGGCTATCTGCTACCAGCTGGCAATTACCACCCGCAGCCCGGGACCACCAGCGCCCATCGCACTGCTATCAGACCTGCCACGCTCCGACACATGGGGAGTTATTGTGGCGGGGGATGGAGGCAGATCTGCTATTGCTCCGGGTCCTCCAGAAACATCTGCTCCTCAGAGCAATGGTGGGAACAAGCCATGCAGCGTGTCTTTGCATTTGGTGGAGCGCAGTCCTGCACCTCTGCGAGCACCTTGCTGCGAGCTGTGTGTCTATTTACAGGCTGAAAGAAAGCAGGACGGGGAGAGAAAAGGAGGCAATTTCCATAGCTTTCATTCAATGGTGCTTCTTACTTGGCCAAAGTGGAAAGCAGAGGTGGTCTGTCACGGAGTAGCTTTGCAAACCCAAGGCAGGATCAAGCTCCAAAACCCGGTTACGAGAAAACAACAACACCTGACGGCTTCTTTTTTCAGGTCCAGGAGGAAAAAAAAAAAAAAGCCGTT